CCTCACGCTCCGATCCGATCCAGTTTTCGAAATGGACTCTTTTGTGAGAGGATTGTCGAAAGGATCGTCGCTGGAGAGCCTTAAATTCTGGATATGTCGTTCCGGACGAGAAGTTTGTTCTGTGGAATGCAATCCAGAACTTGGCGTTGAGCTGGAATCCGACAGCTTACGAGTGTAGCTGTCCTTTTCCGACTTCTTTTGAAACTTACTAGGATTGATGTTCTCCTTATCTAGAATAACAATACCATCATCATGGTAAGGTGAGGTCGGAGGCTTTTGTAGAGGGCCTGGTTCGGGGTTCACAGACTTTGAATACAAGGATAAAAGATGCTTAAGAGCAGAGACTAGACCAGTATTCGGAGTGTTCTCTTGTGGAAGGCTCTCCGAAGAGTCAATCGAACTGAGCGCAGCGAGTATGGTTGCATTTTGAGCATTCGGCTCGGAAGGTGATGTAGCCGAAAGATATGCTAGGACGTCAAGGATGCTGGGTTCATAAGATTCAACCTTAGGTTGCAAAAATGCATGCGTTCCGTTGGATTGCGTGGCACGTTTAATGAGTGGACCTGACAAAAATGGCTGGGTCGTAGGCTGTTTGGTTCTGCGGTTCTTTTTGTTGGTATCCTGACTAGCCGGAGTCCGAATATCATTTGACTTGACCTGCATATTTTTTACTGCCAGGTTTGAAGTGCTGTCACTATCCGATCCATCTATAACGATAACCTCTTGTGCCCCTGAGTCGGAAGGAGGTGCAATTGGTTGAGGCGCTAGTAAATTGGCCTCGACATTAATCATTTTTGGACGTCCTTTTTTCTTCAAAGGCCCAATATATGTCTCCGCATTCATCAATTTGTCAGACTCTGTGACCGGTATTGTTGATTGTTTAAGCGATTTCTTAGGAGGCTTTATCTTTGCTTTTGTCCTCATATGGATCGATGCAAGAGTTTCTCGCGTAGAGTCCGCCATGTATGAGGGCGCTTCCCCCGAGGAAGCCCTTGTGATGGAGGTTGACGGTTCAACTTGCAATCGGGAAGAAGAGGCTACCGGTTGGGAGGAATGTTGCTACGAGAAATACTAATCAGGGTACATACAAAGTGAAATCACATAAGGACATCTTACATGACTTGAGTGATGCCTGTGCGTATCTTGTTTCAAAATCATCAGATTTGCATGTCGCACTGACGTTGATGAAGCGGTCCATGCTGGTTGTTTCATTGCAACCGTCTGTAGTAGTAAACATCCAATCGACTTTTTTGGTTGTTTCAAGCAAACATACCTCTCGGAGGGCAAATATTACTTCCAATGCCTCTTGACCAGTACCTTGTTTCACTATGGTACCAACTACCGTCATTGGGTCACTGTCATCAGAGGCTAAAGCCCATGACATAAGCCCTAGCCCCACTGCTACACCTCGTGGTTGTTCTAATGATGAACCAGTCTTCGTTGGTGACGGTTCCCGATTTGCATTGGCGATACGAACAGGTGCGGGTGCCGAATTTGATTCTAAAGGGTCGAGAACATAAAGAGAAAAGTCTCGACAATGATCTTGAATCAACTCTGGGCTCGACCGACAAATAGTGTTTAGACAGGTCTTAAGCAATACGCTGGCATAGACGGGTTGTGCATTATCTCCGTTCGCGACACCCTCAGTGGGCACTAGAGTTACTGAAACCGTAGTATGAGAACGAGCAAGGATGTACTGAGGCGAGCTGTTAATGGTGTACAAGAGCCGCAGCGACGTTTTCGTTTCTAGCATGATGGTCAAGTCGGACAGTTGGTGGCTAGGGGGACAACAGTTCAGGTCGCTGACAAAGCGACGCGTCGTTGTCACAGTGTTATTTGTCGTGTTCGTCGTCACGCGCGAAATCATATGAGAATAAATTATCAAAGTATAAATTACTGTAAATATGATAAAACATTTAAGCTTGATTAACAGACAAGTTGATCACAATAGAATCTCTTTGTTCAGCTGCATTGGGAACTCTAACCAGCGTTCTGGCAGATACATTCGCGGGTGCACATTTCATACTTCTGTTCGTGGCGGCGACTGGCAGCTCGTGTTGGTCTATCGACTCAAAGTCGGGTGGGAACTTGCTTAGCTCGCAATTACAGCATGGAAGACAAAATAGTGAGGTAGGCTCCTGAGAACTAGGTTGAGGAGCCACAAAATGCGCCGCTTCAAAGAGGGGAACAAGACAAGGAAACACGAAAGTAAAAAGAACCTGCATTGGAAATGGCGATGGTGATGAATCAAGGTCGCGGAGCCAGACATCGCGATCAAAAGCAGCTATAGTCAAAAGAGCGACTAACAAGAGGCAGCCAGTGTATGTCAAGTCTATATCAACAAACATCACACAAGGATTAACTGGCTGAAGAAAAAGACACTTACGAATGACTGTACCGGAAATTGCGAATCCTTGTAGGACCAGAAATCCCACTGCATGATTTCCTTGCTTTGGCGAAATGGTATCGATTATCATGGCCACGACTTGGCAAATACCGGATCAATACAGACCCCTGAGCGTAAGAGAGCAAGCCTTACCGAGGTGGAAGGGAAAAAGGACAAATAGGCTAATAGCCTCTGAAGCCACAGTTTGAGGAGAGTCAAACACAGGTTTCCTGATGGCACTGACAATATATTTTAGAAGGAAGAAGGGAAAGGGGCAGAGGTACCTTGGCTTACGACCATACAGCCCGAAGTAAGCTAAATATCTCGATAACCACCAAAAACCAAGCAAATCCTCGGCGCAAGAAATATGGCGATAATAGCGCCCCCATGAAGACTGAGACAGCAGACGTAAATGCAAGAAGGCCTAGAATGTGGTACATTCGGTGATAACCCAGATGAGAGTCGGGAAAGTACTTACTGCAAAGCATTCGCCTGGATGTCTGGAATCGCAGACCCATTTCTGTACGGGGACAAAGGTCAAGAGATATGGGCCGAACCTTGATAATGGTGGTTTTAAAAGATCGTACCTTGAGCAAGCAAACCTGTGGCTGACCAGAGCCAAAGTGCTTCAGTGACACAATCGAGCCTGAGATACATAGATAATAATAATGCGGGCGTGACCAGCAGCTCTTGCAATCAAACCTCTCAAATGAACGTTTCTTCTCACTCAACCGTATTGGGAAAACGAAAGGCTGCAAGGCCTGTGGAGAACTTCGTTCTTTATCTAAACTCAGGGCATGCAAGAAGTGCATCCCAGGACGAGCAGTCCGAGCCCGACTTTAACCATTCAAAACCTCATGTCATCTCAAAAACACATATCATTGTCAACGGCTCGCTTGTGTCCAACACTAAAAAATGCTATCAATGTACTTACAAAGGCTGTGAAAAGGCTTACGCCAAGCCATCCCGCTTAGAAGAACACGAACGATCACATACCGGTCATGTGGGTTTTTCCATTGCCCTCATTAAATTGTTTTTGAAATGTATCTCAGCGGCCGTTCGTTTGTCAAACCTGCAATAAATCTTACCTTCGAGACACTCATCTTCATGCTCATGCGCGGTCGCATTTACCTGAGTCCATGAAACCTTTTGTTTGTGAGAAGCCGAGTTGCACAAAACGTTTTTGGACCTCTCAGCATCTACGAGTTCACCACTCCTGGCACGACGGCGAAAAACCATATAAAGTAAGGCGTCTCGGATGTCTTCTTATTAGTCTTAACCCATCGGTCCTTCTAGTGCTCTGAACTCGACTGTGTTGAAGCATTTGCGAAGCACCATCAGCTACGTGCCCATACCTGTGCCGTCCATGCACCGCCAGGTACAAAGCCTTTTATATGCAGGCATAATGGTTGTACAAAATCCTTTGATACGAATCAGCATCTACGAACCCACCAGAAGATTCATGACGGTGCGTCGAAGCATCTTAGCTTTCGTTCATGCATATTTAGAGCACCTTGTAGATAAACGCTATACTTGTGTTCATATTGACTGCATGGGTGGTGCGAATAGTACCCCGACATTTTTCTCTACGTGGTCTGCGCTTCAATCACACATTCGAATTATCCATCCCCCAACCTGTCTGCATCCATCGTGTAACGGACGGACATTTGCGACCCAAGGCAATCTTAGAGCCCATATGAAATTGCACGATGAGCGTGAAACTGAACTGCAAATAGAAGCTACTCAACATCTTGGTCAGAACGACGAACCATTGAAAAAGAAGCGAAGAGGCGGGGACCAAGGTAGAGATTGGCAATGTGATGTACTCGGTTGTGATAATGACTTCAAATCTGTAAGAGTTATCGCGGTAGTCACCCTCTATTTCCTATGCTCATAATTTAATATCAGAAAAAGGCATTGACCACTCATATCAATGTCACTCATCTTGGAAAACGTGATTTTATTTGCCATCATCCGGAATGCAACCAGGCTTTCGGCTATAAACATCTTCTTCAGCGGCATTTGGCCAAGGCTCACCCGTCTACGCAATCTGAATTAGATAGTTCCTCGTCAGGCGATGAAATTGTTCAGAAGACCGGCTTTGATATTGACACCATTACAGGCGAGGCTTATGCCAAGCGTGCAGAAGAATTGGTCAAAAGTGCCAAATCATTACGCTGTCCCTATCCACATCTACAAAGTCTGACGGTTGATCTCAACCTCCGCGCTTGCATGGATTCAAGTTCATCACGTCGTAATTGCGACTATGTCTTTAGTCGGAGTTACGACTTGAGACGACATCTCAGTGCGTCTCACGATGTTAATTTGCCCAAAGAAACCATAGATGAGTGGGTCAAATTACAAAAGCAAAATAGAAGCAACCCACTCTAGCGATCTTTGACCCTAGAGGTTCAAGGATAGATTTCTTTATCGTTCTGAAGATAATTTACTTTATAGTTCATAATAATTAGGAATAGAGAATACACCGGTTCGGTTTTGGGCTCATAATTATGATAAAATTGAGCCTTGGCGAAAGGCTACTTAGCAATTGGATATATCATGGTGTTATCGAGCGCCGTCCTTCGCGATTGGACGTTGTGACCCCAGGCAGCAAGGTGCTATAGTGTAGTGGTTATCACTCAGGATTTTGATGGGTCAAATCCAGGCACACTTCGTTTCCTGAAACCCATGTTCGAGCCATGGTAGCACCTGAACCCAGTTTTTTTTAACTTGTTAAAACGTTACAGGCCGGAAGTTGACCCACTCTTTCAAACTTTTAATTCATGACTAACCATATGACATTTCTACTGTACAACATCTTTTAAGTTTCAAAACATATGAAGATTTACCTCGCCAACCTAGTTCGTTCTTGCATATATGAATTCCTAGACTTATTTGCCCCTTGCTTTAAGATCGGCTTGGGTCTGTTCAACCTCGTCTTGAACACGTTCAATGGATTTGAAATATTTGACGGTTTTCACATGTAATTCTAGACCGCGAGTTTGTCAAATAAGTGATGCTCATCGTAGGCATTAATACGACGTACCTGCGGTAGCATCTTCGTCCACGACAATAAGCGCCCAGGGATGTAGTTGGAGCGCAGAAAGCGTCCACTAAGAATGATATAAGTTCTGTATGGAGCTGAAAATAGCAGGATTATGCTCACAAGATGATTTACGCCTTCCTCTAAAGAAAATATAGATGAAGCGTTATTTGAGGCAATGGTGTGGGCTTACGCTTACCGATAGCTTTACTGAGGGCGAGCGCCTTGCGGAGGCCAGTGACAACTACAACGACCTCCCTGCTGTCCAGAACAGTTGCCACGCCGACGGTTAGAGCCATCCGTGGAACAGCGGCTACGTCGTTGTTGAAGAAACGGGCATTTGCAAGGATTGTATCATAAGCCAGTGTTTTAATCCTCGTTCTTGATGAAAGAGACGATCCTACGTAGCAAATGATAAGTTAGTAGGTACGTATAGATCCAATGGTGATGCAGAACCAGGTTCCTAAGAAGAGAAAAAGGGCGTTCAATTCTTAGTCATGAGAAGCAATGGACTTGGACTACATTGAATGCGATGTGACCATCCTCGCCAATCCCTCCAAGGAAAAGCTCGATTCCCCCGTAATCCTTGATACGCTTTTCATAGGCCTTACACTCAGCCACGAGGTCTTCGGCATTGCCATCCAGAATATTGACTTGAGAAGCAGGAATGTCGACTATGAGACAACCAGTCAGCCCTGTATAAGGCAAAAAAAACTGACGACGTGCTATGGGAGAAAAATTCGCGAAACATGAAGGTATGATACGACTCAGAGTGGTCGCGGGGAAGCCCCACGTACTCATCCATGTTGAAGGTTACTACATTCTTGAAGCTGTAACATATACCTGAGACATGGAACCGGACTGAAGGATGCTCGACTCACGACAACGTCTGAGCCTTGACCTTAGCGATTAGTGCCTTGTAGGTTGGTATGGGAGAAGATCCCGTTGGAAGGCCAAGAACGAAAGGATTTTGAGGTGTAGGAGCGAATTCGTTGATTCTTCCGAAACTTCCCTTCAGTAGGTTGACAAATGAGAAGAATTTAGATGGACCTCTTGCAGATGTAATTCGCAACGTAGTCCCCGACTGTTTGTGGATCCTCGCGAATAATTAGGCCTATGAGATAGTATAAGGAGTCCAATAGCTCTGAACCTGAAACAGAAGACACGAACGCATATTGTATGACTCTGGTACCAGATCACCGCAAAGATAGGTTTTATTTAAATAGATGCATGGAGCATGTGAGTAGACAAAGAACGGTAAGTATCATGAGTTCATTCGGCAACGTTTCCTTTCTTCTAATGTCATAATAGAATGCTGCATTCAGTCGTCAAGCATGGCAGTCGAAGTGGTTGTCATTCCGTAGGATGCCGGCTTCACACCACGCGCATTGCTCTTGGTAAAAATAAAGAAAGAAAAGCAGATGGTTCGTGCATAGATCACCACATTTCCGCCCTTCTGACTCGTTCTCGAACATCAGCCCATTGGGATCGCCCTATATATGTTTCTGACCGCATGACAGATCGTAGATCGGTCTTTCTAGCACATGCATCCATTCTGCCAACTTCCTCGGCATTGCCGACTTTCATTCGTTACCTTACCTCCCTCCCAACTCTAAAACGCGCCACGCATTGCATGCACGCGTATCGTGTCATAGAAATTCGGTCCGATCTATCACGGATACTTCATGTAGGACAGCACGATGGCGGTGAGAAAGGAAGCGGTGAGCGCCTTTCTCGCCTTTTGGAGGCGTTGCGCTGCGAGAATGTCGTGGTGGTAGTGTCACGCTGGTATGGGGGTGTAAAACTGGGATCCGACCGCTGGAAAATGATATCGATGGTAGCAAAAGAAGCAATCCAAAGAGGAGCCTTCGTAAAGGAGAACGCTCCTGATACACCGGTATCTCATAATTTACGTTCTGGGAAGAGAAAATAGTCTATGCATACTACAGCTACGCCAAAACTATTTCTCTCTATCAATCACGTTCGCCAACGCACTAAAGAAAGCTACTTCCAAACCGTCTGCCCCATAATTCGGCCAAGGGTTTCTGATACAATCTTTGACTTGCGACAGCGATGGTGGCCTTGAAAAAAGACCTAGCCATTGTTTCGGTGGTGGAAGACTAGGAACGGTAAGAGGCAGGTATATAGCATTAAAATGTGGTAAAACGAGTGGTAGCAATCGATCATGCATATAGACTATAGTGAAGGATGAATAAAACATATAATGCTCAGCCTTGTAATGAAACGTAGATAAAAATTACTCGCACCTTGTGCATTATAATAGAAACTCCATGGATCTATAAGCGCATTTCTATTGTTGACTTCCCAGAATTCACGAGATGATGAGATGCCTTCTGGCTGGCCAGCTTTCGTACAGGACGATTGAAGAAACCAACTTCCATGCCATATAAGAAGGCTATTTTGGATGCCAGGATCCTCTCCAATTACACGTAGTGACCGTATGACAGAAGGTAAAAACCGAGAGATAGTTGCATGTAGTGCAGCATTGATCAGCCGAATTTCGAAAGAATCAGCCACGACCTCAGTGTCAAGATATGAAGGACTGTGCTTGTACCAAAGATCGTCGACAAAGGTCCAATTACCTGATCTATGTTTGCTATCGTAAGACCAAGCCGGAGCGGGCAAGGGTCCTCGATTCATGACGATAATATCGGCTTTGCGAGCTCGCCTTAACCAATAATTATTATGAGATCGCACTCCAGTCCTCGAGTCGATTACCGGAAGAATATAGGCAGGGTCATGCTGGTTATCAGAAGCATGGAGAGTTGTTGACAAGACATAGTGGAGAAGGGAAGATTTTGTTGAGGACAACATTAAGCTGCTCGGTATTTTCTTCTTACGGCCAACGAGCATATCCAAGTCAACTTCACTTCCGTTTACTGGAGAGCGGCAGATATGATGGAATACACAGTACGCCTGACCCAAGCAATTGTGAGGTCGACCTTCATAATTTTCCAGTGAGTTGAGCCAAAGAGAATGAAGATAATACGTCGTCTCGGGACCGACAAAGATTATTTTTTTGCCTGCAAGGAGAGTGCAGATACGTATTGAGAAATTGGCAGGGATTCTCCAAGTAGAAAAGCAGTCCTGGCGGGGAAAAAAGACTGGCTGATTTGAGCGCAAATGCCACTGTCCTCCGTGAAGTGAGCAGGAGAGAGATGTTTGGTGAGCCAAGAGTTTTGTTAAATCGACTTTTGGAATCGTTCTACCGAAAAGATCACCAGAGAAAATGAGAGTCAAAGCGGTCTCCTCCAGAACTTTGTCAACGATTCCTTTAATTAGTAACCTAGACTCGGAGTCGCCTATAGGGAATAAGAACGAAGGCTGGCGCGTAATGTAGAGGAAAAGAATCAAGGAGGCCCAGAGAGAGAGTCGGGACAACTTCATGTGTAGTAACAGAAATTAATTGTAATTACATAAGCCACCTCTTCTCTCCTCTCTCAGATGCCCCACTTCCCGCTTATTGGAAGGCTTTCATTTCGTGAATATGCCGCTGTAGTTTTTGGCTTCAGCTTTCTTGCTTTAGAATCTATTTTGCATATAATAATCCTCTTCCTGCCAAAACCAGTCATTGATTGGTTCTATCGTCGCTCTCAAGCCTTATTCCACTTCATCGTCGGCAGTCAAGTACAAGATCTCTCCGAAGAAAAAAAGGCAACCGAACGTATATTAAATGCCAGGGACTTCGGAGAATTATCCAGTATTTTTGGATACATTCATGAAGAACATGTTGTTTTAACCAAGGACGGTTATCTTCTGGGACTTCATCGTCTACCTTCCAGGAAGGGACAGCAGAAGCGTAATCCTGGAAGCAGCACGGGAAAGCCTGTTGTATACCTCCATCATGGTCTCCTCATGAACAGTGAGGTCTGGGTATGCTTGACAGACGCAGCTCGCGCTCTTCCGTTTGTTCTAGTAGAGCAGGGTTATGACGTATGGTTTGGGAATAATAGGTACGCCAGATTACTCCAAACTTCAGACAGGGCTTGGATGTAATTATATTTAGGGGAAATAAGTATTCAAAAAAATCAATACATCATGGACCTAACTCTTCCAAGTTTTGGGATTACAGGTTACGGTCGTTCATCTATCATATGTTGCGCTTTTACTAAACTCCATCATTAGCATCGACGATTTCGCATGGCATGACATTCCAGATTCCATAAACCATATTCTCCGAGTCACTAAATCAAAAAAGTTGAGCTACATTGGCTTCAGCCAAGGAACTGCCCAAGCGTTTGCTGCCTTGAGCATACACCCAGAGTTAAACGAAAAAGTTAATGTTTTTATTGCTTTGGCGCCAGCCATGAGTCCCCCAGGGCTCTCTGCACCCATCGTTGATGCACTTATGAAGGCTTCGTGAGTAGTTTCGTAACAGTCAGGTATTCTGTCTGATGTATACATTCAGACCTACCCTTTTATTCCTCTTCTTTGGCCGGAAATCAATTCTATCATCATCCACTATGTGGCAATCCATACTCTACCCACCAATATTTGCCAAGTTTATTGATAAATCTCTTGTCTGGCTATTCGATTGGCATAGTAATAACATCTCTACCAACCAGAAGATCGCAGCATACGCACACCTCTATTCGTTTGCCTCCGTCAAGTCGGTGGTCCACTGGTTCCAGATCATGAGGAATGCCG